CAGGGTAATTTTCCTATTGTACAAAATTGTATTACGCACTTACAATAGTATTACGGCTCGCATTTTGCTGTATTTGACTTCAGCAGCTAGTGCGGGGGTTCCAGGTTCCTTTGATGCTGTGACGATCTGCAGCTTGGCGGCGATGTCTCGTCCCTTGCAGTCTCACTGCACTGTCTTGTCCGTCTTGCGGCGATGGCTTTACACTTGACACATTCTTTTTTTTACTGTTTTCCTTTTTCACTGACTGCGACAGTTTTTGCGCTTGGTTTTGTCAACTATTTTTGATTTGGGAAGTGTCTTGTCATGCCTTTTGTAATACGATCCTTCGGTGATCCCTCCGCTGGCACCAATTTATGTTATGTGCGTGTGAAGCACAGAGTAGTTACGGGATCGTTACCGAATGGGAACTGAGGGACTGTCAAGGGGAAAGTTCATTCCCGTTTTGTAGTTTCTATAATAGTTTTAATAAATAGTTAAAGATACAACCTATTTAGGCTTACACGTTTTTGCGTTGATCACTCGTGTTCACAGCTTTGTTGAAACAGTACTTTACACAGCGTGTCGTGTTCAAATTAACTGGACCCTTAAGTGTTATGATCGGGTCCTTTTTATATCTAACAATTAGGTTATTAAGCGCAAGAGGAGGTTATTGGAACGCTTCGCTTGCGCTTTCGATATTTCTTAATAATTTTGCTTACTCGGCTGTTGCTTACTTGGCGTTAGCCTCGTTTGTTTATTTCGCAAGCTTGTGCGCTTAGCGTTTTTGCAAGTATGCGTCTTACTTAATTTTATAAATAATTATAATATATAAATATACTAGTTATAGCTTTTAGGTTATAACATAAATAATCTTAGAAACTTGGTATTACAAAAATATTTACTGTTGCGTCATAAATAAAGAAAGTCGTGCACGATCGCGATACCGTATGAAAACCGATATAAACAAAGCGATAAAAGAAAGTATCATCGCAAAAGGACACTTCGGCTGCATCGACATAGAGCCTGCGGTTCCCTTATCTCTCCCTACCATTAATTAAGTCGCACAAAAAACAGAGGGCGGACTCATAATCCACCAATAAGACAAATCTGTTTGTAGACTTTGGAGAAGTCGAACGAGACCTCCACACATTTGGTCAATCGCTTTCACGCGTGAAACATCATACGAATTAATTAGTGATCACATTATATCAATTGTCGCGACCCGGTATTCTCGAGGCGTTATCGCGACCCGAGTCGAATCTCGAGGCGTCGTCGCGATCCGGAATACACGAGGCGTCGTCGCGACACGGTATCGCGACCCGAGTCGAATCTCGAGGCGTCGTCGCGGTTTGAAACAGTACGCGACCCAAGTTGAATCTCGATGCGTTGTTGCGATCTGATATATAACCGAACATTGTCACAAGCGATCAATGCGGGGATATTACCTGAACATTAATATAAACATTGCAATGTAAATTTGTATATCCAACAATAAACAATCAAAATAAACTACAGTACGAATACGAAAATATCTTCACTGATTCACGAAACATTTACTAAATAATTCTGAAACATCAAGAAATCTCAATTTATTGTGAGATATTGATTTACGTGATTTTCTCTACACATAGTATAATAATATTTAAATGTTCCCTGCATTTCTAGGAAAAACTACTATGGTTTTTACATTATTTTAGATGTATGAGATCTAAAACAACTCGAATTTTACACTCGAGGTAAAAAGATCGTACTTTTTGGACATCTTCCTTTGAATTTTCAAAAAAATAAAAATTTTCCAAAGGAGGAGGGCCAATAAGGCCGATTTTTGGGCACAAGCGTCGCACGTTTTTGATCGTATATTTGTATAGTTGAGGTCGAGAGCTTTCCAAAACACCCTATGAAAAGCTTTTTACGTTGGGGAAAGTGAAAGTTATTAGTTCTCAAAGTTAAAGAAACACACATATATGCATGAAGTAGACTGCCTTAATTTGTGTGTGTGTGTGTGTGTGTGTGTCTATCTGTGTGTGACAGATTGAAAATATATACATGTATTTGTTATTTTATCGTCATCTTTTTAAATACGAGCTTGGAACCGTCAATGGCAGAATTACTTTTTTTTATTTTTTAAAATAATTTTTAATTTTTTTTTGTATAGTTTTTTGTTTTTTATTTATTTTTTTTTGTCATAAATGTATTTTTTGCGCATTTCTTGTGTTGAATTCGACGGCACTTAAGAAGAGTCACTGTTTGATGATTCTTCTTTATCTGTTCAAAATGAAGAAGCATCATCAAACAGTGACTCCTCTTAAATGTCGTCGAATTCAACATAAGAAATGCGCAAAAATACATTTATGACAAAAAAAAACAAAATAAATAAAAAACAAAAACTATACAGAAAACAAGAAAATTAAAAATTATTTTAAAAAATCAAAAAAATAACTCTGCCATTGACGGTTCCAAGCCCGTATTTAAAAAGAGGACGATAAAATAACAAATACATGTATATATTTTCAATCACACACAGACAGACACACACACACACACACACACAATTAAGGCAGTCTACTTTATGCATATGTGTGTTTCTTTAACTTTGAGGACTAATAACTTTCACTTTCCTCAACGTAAAAAGCTTTTCATAGGTGTTTTGGAAAGCTCTCGACCTCAACTATACAAATATACGATCAAAAACGTGCGACGCTGTGCCCAAAAATCGGCCTTATTGGTCCTTCTCCTTTACAAAATAAATATAGGAAAGTGAGTACACACATACACATATATCTATCTAACTTTACAAAAATTATAAGGAAATTAATGATTAGTTCGACCATACTGGCTCTTATTAATAATTCGTTTTTATTAGATATGAAGTACACTACGTTTCGACCTTAAATTTAGGTCCTTTTCAAGTATTAAAATTATAAAAAATCAATAGTTAGCGACGCAAAACTAAAACTAAATACAAGTCAATTCGTGCAAGAAGAAACAACAATGTATTTACTTAAAACAATTTTAATAAGCCACATTAAGATATAGAGATATAAATTATGATATGTTAAGCGCTGTAAACTTTAACATGTCGCTAAGACATTCTGTCAACTACTGATACAAGACGCTAAATTATTTTAATAATCTTATCATAAACAGAGTTGAGATTGTCTGTGTCAGTTTGAAGATTGATTGTGTTTGTTTGCTTTTTAATATATAACATTTCAGCAATCTCTCTCTTACGTCTATGTTTTTCAGTATGTAAAATACATTGTGTTACCATACATGAGAAATTTCAGCGACAACATCTCTAAATCGCTTAGAAAAAAAGGACTACGAGTAGTATATAAATTACAGAAAAAATTAAGTAGCCTTATTAAAAGAGGTAAGGATACCACTCCTAAATTAAATAAAACAAATGTCGTTTAAAGATTGGAATGCATTGATTGCAATGTTTCTTACATAGGACAAACAAAGAGACATCTAAATACTCGCATAAAGGAACACCAGAACAACATTAAAAAGCATGAATCGAATCTGTCGGTTGTTAGCAAACATAGAATAGAATGCAATCACGATTTCCGGTGGCTTGACCCTTCTATTTTACATACTGAAAAACATAGACGTAAGAGAGAGATTGCTGAAATGTTATATATTAAAAAGCAAACAAACACAATCAATCTTCAATCTGACACAGACAATCTCAACTCTGTTTATGATAAGGTCATTAGAATAATTTAGCGTCTTCTATCAGTAGTTGACAGAATGTCTTAGCGACATGTTAAAGTTCACAGAGCTTAACATATCATAATTTATATCTCTATATCTTAATGTGGCTTATTAGAATTGTTTTAAGTAAGTACATTGTTGTCTCTTTTTGCACGAATTGGCTTGTATTTAGTTTTAGTTTTGCGTCGCTAACTATTGATTTTTTATAATTTTAGCACTTGAAAAGGACCTAAATTTAAAGTCGAAACGTAGTATATTTTATATCTAATAAAGACGAATTATTAATAAGAGCCAGTATGGTCGAACTAATCATTAGCTTCCTTATTATTTTTTAAATTTTCTCTGGCGAAGAATACAAATCTATTATTTACAAAAATTGTTACTTTATGTAAAAAAGTGAAAATTTGAACTTTATTATAAAATTATCAATTTTTCAAAAAAAATTTTCTTAATAAATTAAATTTAAAAAAATGCCGAACATTAAACAAATATATTTTATGATTACACATTTTTTTAACTTATCCAGAGCTTATTATTTCCGTAATTAAGATAATTAAAAAGAAATTTTAATAAAAAGGTTGTGCCAATTGAAATTTGCACATTGCTTCTTTACCATATTAATTCAATTATGGTTTCCTTATAGAGAAAGCTTAACTTGCACATTAATTGAGCAAAATTTAATTTCACTCATTAAGATTCCTCTATGAGGAAGCAATAATTGAAAGAGGATAATAATTTTGCTTCCTCATAGAGGAATCTTAATAAGTGAAATTAAATTTTAATGAATCAATGTGCAAGGTAAACTTCCTCTATAAGGAAGCTATAATTAAATTAATGTGGCGAAGAAGCAATGTGTTTTTTTTTGTATATGTAATTTTTCGTGATAAATTTTTATAATTTTGTAATTACGTTTAATTTTCAAATTTTAATGTAATAAAACATTTGTACGCAAACTCAAAGAAGAAGAAAAAAGTAAAAAATTTATTTTTTAAATAAAAAATATGATTCCATTTAAAAATTCAAGATGTCTTTAGTATAATCTTAATAATATCATCTAAGGTTTAAACCGTTACATCAAATAAGTTTTTTAAACAGTTTTAATCACAATTTTTGTTTCACACAAACATTTCTTTTTCGTAAAATACTTCCTTTCCGAAATAATAGACAATTCCAAACTTATCCCGAATTTTATATATATATATATAATTTTATATCATATATATGTATATTATATGCTAAAGTATATATACAAATGTGTATGTATATTTAAATATTTTATGATGATATATTGTATCTTCTAATAGCTTTCACGAAGAAGGCATCTATGATGTACCCGCAATGGTTACATACATCACGAATATGAGATCACAACCTTTGCACGCGTACATTGGCCATTCTATGGGTACATCAGTATTTTACGTAATGGCAACAGAGCGTCCAAAAATTGCTAAAATGGTGAAAATGATGATCAATTTCGGAGCAGGAGCTTTCGCAGATCATATGAAAAGTCCACTACGACCAATATTTTACATGATGAAAGATAATGAGGTAATAATATAATATGTAAGAATACTATTAGAAAATAATTTATCTTGTAAGATAACTGTTTAGACTATTTTTCTGTAACTGTTAACGCTATTTTTCTGTAAAAAAAACATGATTTTATGTCTCATTTTTACATGTACAAAAACACACAAACACACTATTTCTTTAATATTCTCATAAACATTAAAAATTAATATTAAAATAGCTTAAGAGATAGCCGACCACGCCAGGCTCTCAGTTAGCCCGTTGTTTTATTATTTATTAAAAATTAAAAACAGGATTATAATCGACTAACACCGGCAATGTTTTATTTATTTATAAATTAACACAATGTTTCGACCATGGGTTTTGGTCCTTTTCAAGTGTACTAGAATACAGTAAATGTATAATAATTAGCGCAAAGACACAAATATCAGCAGTAGAAACAAATATCAAACTCAAACAGTAGTAGCAGTGTTAGTAACAACTTATACATTATATATACATTGTAAAGTTACCTACTTAACGAAAGATTGTCACATAAACGCACATACAAATATGGAAACTGCAACGTTATCGAGATTAAAAAGGAAACGTTGTGTATTATAACACCTCGTCAATACGTATAAACCGAGAACAGACTATAGACAATCTTTATTATTTGTCAGAATTGTTATTTAGATTTTTAGTGTTCTTTTGTAAGTTGAGAGTGTTATTAAATTTTTGATAAAAACATTTCAGCAATTTCCCTTTTCTTAGCATTTTTCTTATTATATAATATTTGGGGAGCAGACCAATTAAAATCATGTCCCAATTCCATTCTGTGTTTGCTAATTACTGAGTGATTATACTAACATACATTTTTATATTGTTGAAATGTTCTCTCATACGAGTGCTTAAATGTCTTTTAGTCTGACTTATATAAGAAGCGGTGCAATTCTCACAATTGATTTTGTATACGATTTCTGTTCTGTTATTTGTCAAAAGTTTGTCCTTATTCTGTGTAATTATCGTGTCTATTTTTTAGGTACGCTGTAAGTAACATTTAGACCGATTCCATTGAGCTCACGTTTAATGTCATCACTTACGCCGCGAACGTAAGGCAATGCAATATAGGCAGATACCATCAAAACTATCATTCTTGAATTTATCCTTGTCTATATCCGGATTCTTGGTGTTATGAAATTTTTATTTATTAAGTCTTTTTTTGATGTGACAATTAATTATGTGAGCCGAAAAACAGTTGCTATGTAGAATTTTTTCCACAATATCAATGTTTTTGTGATGGAAGCGTTTATTAGAACAGGATAGCATGATCAACAAGATTATAAATTGTGTTGACTTTATATTTCATTGGGTGATTAGAGTAATAATTAATGTACCTGCCCGAACAAGTGGGTTTCCGAAATCAATTAGTCACAAGCTTGACATCACATCTAATGACTATGGTATTTAGAAAATTAATTAAGGTATTCGTTTTTATTTCATGCGTAAAACGTAAGCAAGGATGGTAGTTTTTAAAAGTCAATAACATCTCATCGGTTTTAGTCATAGGAACAATAGCAAATACATATGTGTAAAACAATAGAACGCAAAAACCAAGTAATTTTAAACATTGTATCTCTAAATCGTCCATAACTATATCAACCAAAATAGATGATAGGGGGGAACCCATCGGACTACCAAAAATCTGTTCATAAAATTGGCCGCCAAAGCAAAATCTTGTTGAATCTAAAATGATTGCAACTGTGTATAAGAACTGAGACAAATCAAACATTGTGTTATGAGCGATATCACACCAACGTTTTTCAATAGCGTTTTTTACTAATTGTTTATGGATATTATATTGATGAATAAAGAGGCGACATCTAATGAGATCATCACCTCATCATCATCCACAGTGGCATCACGAATAGCAATGGCAAATGACCAATCATCTCTAATATGAGATGCCGGTTTTTTTTATAGAACGGTGTAATATGTCATGAATAAAACTTGCGACATTATAAAGCGGGCTACCGAGCGCCGATACAATTAAGCGCAAAGAAGAACCAACTTTATGAATTTTTGGCAGTCTGTAACATCTAGGCAAATTTTCGTTCGTGCAATTTAGATGTTTATATGTGGTCGCATCTACCAAATTATTATTTTGCCATGACTTAAGCAAGGAATTTATTCTTGTAGTCACACGCCCGGTGGAATTCCTGTCTAATTTCCAGTACGTAGATTAATCGTTCAATAGCAATCTCATTTTTTTCACATAATTGGTTCTATCCATGACGACAGTAACCTGACTCTTATCAGCTCCAGTGACAATGACATTATCCTTCTCTTTTAAGCATTTTTTGCACAATAAAAATCTATCGAGGATATATCTGTCCGTATAATTAATATGTCTACGTACACAAAAAAACTTATGGAGTGAACTCGCGACTGAAATTCTAGTTGCTTCCAGTGAATCCACGGGAATTCTGTAGACATTTGCTTCAATATTTTTAACCATTCCGAGTACAAATTAAATATGGTTCATTGACACAGGTCTGATACAAAGGTAGTCCAAATCCAGCACCAAGACTAAAAAGATCAGTGTTAGGAGAGAGTATCGACAATTCTTCCCTGATGCAAAATTAAGCAAAGATAACAAACTCATGTAACAAAAAATATTGCGAAGGCTTTGAGCAAAGACCGATGCTCTTGTTAAAGCCGCGTGGACAGCAAATTATGGACAAGACGACAATTAAAGCAAAGTAATCGACTCACCGCGTAATGCGTGCCTCGTGTTCCAAAGAAGGCAGATCCTTCGAAAAAAAAATCCTCTGCAGTAGGGTGCGGATGTCTTCAAACAAGCAATAGGATAGCAAAGTGAGAGATAAGCAAGCCAAGCATGCAATCACGCAAGTGAGCAGACAAAGTTCGGCGTTTTCCTCTCTGTCTTCAGAGTTCGTCTCAAGCGTGGTACCAGCAAGCGCCCAAAAGCAAGTGGTCGAATCTTCTTTCCTGTAAGGTACGGCAAGCAAATAGTCTGCTTCCACTCCCGATCAATAATTTTATCGATGGATGACGATGATAGCACCGTTTAGTAAGTCGATTACCGTTGAGTGCCAATTCGCTATCCATCGGCAATGCGTTACAATTTTTTTTTGCGATGCGGCGCAAGGCAGAGAAATCCTTTTTACTGATACCAATGGGGCTGGCCCCATGAGTTATGTGGAGACTCATCCAGCTAGGACATCACACCACAAGTGATTCACCGGCGGCCTTAACCACCGATGACTCACAAGTGATAATAGTCCTGGTTGGCTTTACCCACTAAAACTCCGCCCGAGCCCGTTGCATGAGCCTCCTCGGTCCTTTCTCTCTGTGCGACAGGAACTGTTTTGCACAATACTTCTATCGCACAGCAGGATCTCGCAATAATCGCTTCTCCTCCCTTTTCCCCCTCTTGTGTTTCCACCTTCCTTCCTTGCGGAAAACCTTCCTCTCACCATTATACACATGGTGCTTCTCCCTTCCATGGATACATCTATACACACATCCAATCTAAAATAAATTCAGACAAGTTTCCGCGCACACATATACCCATGACCCTCCTACATGTATAAATATATACACACACACGCACATACGCACACACGCACACATCATTATTTACATGCTTTTCTCTTTTTCTATCCGCACGCATCACTATTAAGGTTGGCAGACCCGTTTCCACGTACCTGCCTTTTCCTCTCTCTCTTCTCTCCTTCATGCGTTACAATTTGAGCTAAATTAATATACAATCGATTAACAATTATTCGATAAGCAATAAAAAATTAACATTTAAATACAATAATTAGTGTGACAGCTAAATTTAACAACTAACAATAAACGCGACAACGTAATTGATGAGCACCAAACAATCAGACACTCGGTCAGGTGTTATTTTACTACTGATATTTAATAACCATTTCGATCTGTCTATTTTATGAACGGATTTACAAGTTTATTATATCTGTGTATTAAAATGTTAAATTTTTTATTGCAATAATTTTTTTCTGTAATTAACCCCCAAAATAATGTTTGTTGAAGGCAAAAAAATTTTTACTAAATCGTTTGGTAAGCAATAAAAAAGTCTATCCTCGATCTTCTTGATATTGCCCAGCTTAGAAGACAGCATACTATATTATTTATATTGAGAGCCGATAAAAATATTTATTTCTGACTTCTTGATATTGTTATGCAAATAATTAAAAATGGTAATAATTTCGTCAACCATATCTGGCTATAAATACTATTTATTAAGCTTTACGACGTTTCGGCCATGGGTTTCGACCCTTATCAAGTGCTATCAACAATTGATATATAATTAAATTAATAATATTACAGATTAATACAAATTAGGTGCTTAAATATTAATATACCAACCTACTTAATACCGCATTATTGTAATAACACTACTTGTTTGATCTTAGGTCATGACGTGATGTACTGTCATGATAATGTGTTACGAACTAACTATATTAATATGTCAATACGGAACTATTTATATACTAGATCAAACTAAACGACCTTTATTAATTTTTCGTAGACATTGTTTAGATTGTCAGTATCTTTTTGTAAGTTAATATTTGTCAAATTTCTTGATGAAAAACATCTCCGCTATTTCTCGTTTTCTAACATATTTTTCATGATGTAAAATTTCGGGCGAAGACCAATTGAAATCATGTCGCATATCAATTTTATGATTAGTAATGACCGAAAAATTACTACTGTGTACCTTGATGTTATTAAAATGTTCCTTTACACGTGTGCCTAATTGTCGTTTAGTTTGACTTATATATGATGCAGGACAATTTTCGCAATTAATTCTATACACTACTTCTGTTTTTTCTTTTAAAGGTATAGGGTCTTTTACACGTTTAATTAAAGAAGTTAATTTCTTCGGTATACTGTAAACGCTTTGCATACCCGTAGTTTGTAATAATCTCGTCAAATCATCGCTGAGTTCTTTGACATAAGGTAATTTTATATAATAACATGATCAAATTTCGCACTGCCTAAATTATTGTTATTATTAATATAATCATCGTTGTTTCGTGTACTAAGTAATTTTAATCTGTTTTTTACAAACTTATTAACAATGTCCGAAGGAAAACCATTGTTCATCAATATTGTTTTTATTTTGAGGATGTTCGCTTAATGAAAACATTCATTAGATAGCATCACCGCATGATCAACTAAACTGAAAATAGTATTTTTAACGTATAAGACGGGCAACAAGAGCCAAATCGCGGATGACAATGCGTTATCCTAACGAAACTAAATAATTTTTCGTTAGAATTAAATACCGGTGCACAAGGCACCAAATTTTTACTTGGACACGGCCAAGATTTTAAATATGAAATAATCTCATATTTTGAGATTTAATTTCAATACCCCTTTAACCCCCTACGGAAAATAAATAAATGAATGCAAGAGAAAAATATAGATCAATATTGATCAAAATATAGATCAATTTGATCTATTTTCTCTTGCATTCATTTATTTATTTTCCGTAGGGGGTTTAAAGGGGTATTGAAATTAAATCTCAAAATATGAGATTATTTCATATTTAAAATCTTGGCCGTGTCCAAGTTAAAATTTGGTGCCTTGTGCACCGGTATTTAATTCTAACGAAAAATTATTTAGTTTCGTTAGGATAACGCATTGTCATCCGCGATTTGGCTCTTGTTGCCCGTCTTATACGTTAAATTATATTTATATTACAGAGCCTTGTTAAAACTCTTATATATGAAAATAGTATTCTTTTTATATTTAAACGGATGATTGGAATAATAATTAATATATCTGCCTGAACTTGTGGGCTTCAAAAACTAATTAGTCAATAAATTGCCATTTTTCCTAATTACTGTAGTGTTTAAGAAATTAATCATGTTATTATTTTCAATCTCATGCGTGAACTTTAATCTTGGATGATAATTATTAAAAGTTGACAAAATTTCATCAACACACCCCTGAGGGATTAATTGTGAAAATGTCATCCACGTATCTAAAAAACGGCATAGTTTCGAAACCCAACATTTCCAGACACTCAGTCTCTAGATCATCCATCACCATATCAGCTAATATTGGTGAAAGCGGAGACCCCATAGGACTACCATAAATTTGTTCATAATATTGACCGTTAAAAACAAAACTAGTCGAATCCATGATAAATTCGATCACATATAAAAATTGAGAGAGGTTGAAAGTCGTATTGATCATGATGTCATTCTATCTCTTTTCTACTCCCTTGATTATTAATTCCTTAGGGATATTCGTAAACAAGGAAGCAACGTCTAACGATATTAATAACTCCTCGTCCTTAATTGACATGTTATTAATGCTCTTCACAAAGGACCAACTGTACTGACTTAACATATGATCTTGGTTTCTTAATAGATTTACTCAGTATATCATGTATGTAAGTCGACAAGTTATATAATGGACTACATAAAGATAACACTATGATACGCAATGGAAAGTCAACTTTGTGAATTTTCGGTAACTCATAACAACGTGGTAAATTACCATTAGTTGTGTTTAAAAATTATAAGTATTTATGTCTATGAGTTTATTATCAAGCCATGATTTAATAAGGACATGCATTTTATTAGTTAATTTTTTAACCGGATTTTTGTCTGTTTTTAATAAGTAGATTCATCATTAAGTAACCCTTCCATTTTTCTTATTGTTCGTGATTTGAGGGTTTTTCACTCGAATGTCGTGAACGCGTGCGGCGAATTCCGCTCCACGAGAACGCGGGATGAATGTGCGATGAGAGAGACGGCGGTATAGCGTTGAGAAGGAGCGAGAGAGACAGAGTGATATAACGTTGAGAAGGAGCGAGAGAGACAGAATGATAGTGGACCGCGACCGCGAGACTGAAGATTGAAGACGGGAGCGAGCGAGAATAACAGATTTATAAAATGCACAATTGTTTAATCAAATTAACAAAACTGTCATTTACTCACTTTGTCCGTGTTAAGTATAATGCTGGAATCGTATCACTGACGCGACACTTAGATAAAGTTCCGCGTTCCCGTTACTAACGATAAGTCCGGTCAAGTTGTTCTAATTTTGAAGGTACGGACGCGATCTTGATCGTATGATTTCTCGTTAGCTTCTGACAAAGAATCGGCGGGAACGCCGGTTCGCTCCTCAATTTGCCCATACTAGAAGAAGCAAAACAGTTTGACCGGGAAACGCTTCAAGGTTTTTCTGCGTGCGAAAGTCGGGATAAAATAACGAATAAACAAGAGACGTCGAAAACAAGTCAAAGGATACTTTCGCGAACGAGAATCTGTCGACGAGAGTCATGCCAAAATATTTAATTTTTAAGACGATAATCACAAAGGACAGCCGTTACTGCGAGGCTGACACGAGTAACGCGAGTAATTTGAAAATATTGACACAATAAGCAAGATCGAACGACTTGGCGGAACGACAATTTGAGCGACATAAATTTACAGAATAGACAGACTCGAATTTAATAAACGTGTTGACGGTCCTTAACACTTATGTAGTCCATTTTTCCAAGAATGACAGTCGTTTGTCCTTTGTCAGCTTTTGTCACAATAATGTCATCGTTAACTTTTAAAAAATTTTTTGCTTCCCCGAAACTTCTAAGAATATATTTATCTATATGATTAATGTGCTTTTTTGTACTTAAAAAATTGTGGACAGAATTTGCTACCGAGATACGAGTTGTTTCATGTAGATATGCCGTTTTTTAGATACGTGGATGACATTTTCACAATTATCCCTCAGGGGTGTGTTGATGAAATTTTGTCAACTTTTAATAATTATCATCCAAGATTAAAGTTCACGCATGAGATTGAAAATAATAACATGATTAATTTCTTAAACACTACAGTAATTAGGAAAAATGGCAATTTATTGACTAATTAGTTTTTGAAGCCCACAAGTTCAGGCAGATATATTAATTATTATTCCAATCATCCGTTTAAATATAAAAAGAATACTATTTTCAGTTTAGTTGACCCTAGTAGCACAATTCATTGGCACAATATTGGTTAACAATATATACCCAAGTTTTAATATTGGCCATAGTATAATTTTCCATATTGGTCCAATATTGTAAAGTAGACGCTCTGTCACTTTAAACCAATATTAATTTTTAATATTAAACCAATATTAATTTTAATATTAGACCAATATATTTATTTCATCTTTAACCAAGATTCTTTATATATTTTTTACATTGGCTACAAATAAATTTCCAATATTGTAAAATAGACAACTTTCTTTTTTTTAGCCAATATTAAATTGTATTATTAGCCCAATGCATTAATTTTTCTTCTTCAATCAATCAATATATATATGTACATATACATATACATATTAATTCATCCCACTTCCCTAGCGAGTTGCTATAGATATATATATATATGTTACAAATATATATGTAACATATATATATATATTTCTATAGCAACTCGCTAGGGAAGTGAAACTCGTAGAATATATATATATATGTTACACATATATATGTAACATATATATATATATATATTTCTATAGCAACTCGCTAGGGAAGTGGGATGAATTAATGTATATGTATATGTATATGTACATATATTGATTGATTGAAGAAGAAAAGTTAATGCATTAGGATAATTATATAATTTAATATTGACTAAAAAAAGAAAGTTGTCTAGCTTATATTATTGATCAAAAATATAAATGTAGTCTTACTAAAATTTAAATAACTTATATAGATAGTAAAAAATAATCATGTATATGTTATATGTATAAGAAGTTTATTGTTCATAAACTTTTCAACTTTATCATTTTCAAAACTTGTTTTATTTTTTATACTTGTTCCATTTCTTATATATTTTTACATCGAATAATATATAATACTAGACTTATAATATGTAATATTTATAAGAATAAATGCTAATATTTTATATTAAAATAAAAATAAAATTGCATATAATTGCACATGAGTATAAAATGAACGCGCGAATAAAGTTTTAATAAGACAAAATTAATCAAATATTTCTTACTTTTACTTTTACTTTTTTATCGAATAACATACATTTTTTATTATATATGTATATTCGATATATATTTTCTTTAAAAATAACTTTATATTATTATATATATATAATAGCATAAAAATAAAATTGCATATGAATAAATTTAAACAAAATAAATTTCTTTTATACTTAATGTACTCTGGTAATTTTTTGTAATTTTTGGTAATTATGAAAGAAAAAACCTAATTTGTAGATTTCGAAAATCTTTCTTTTCTTCCTCCTTCTCTGTCTCCACTTTCTGCAAGGAATTTTGATATTTTTTGCAAAATTTCATTTCTGGATACATTTGGTATTTTTTTCGACACAACCTCTAGAAACAAAAAAATTTATAAACAAGCTTATTATTTTAAATTAGTAATAAACAATATGTATAATTTTATTAGTCCAAGTTTAGTTTTTAAATCGTTATTAAATTTATTATAATTTATGAAATTATACTGAAGTTATGCTTTAATACTAAATATTAAAAATAAAAGAAATATTCTAAAATTTAATTTTACAATATCAATGCAAGTAATATATTTAAAACAAATATTTAAAATATTTAAAACAGTTTGATATATGTATAATTATATATTTAAACAAAAATTAAAGAAGTGTGTATAATATATATATATATATATATATATATATATATATATATTGTATTGCCTTTTTTATAACATTTGACAAACTTCTTAAATGTTATTAGTTACTTTAGATATTTTTAAAAATATTTTTACTAACAAAATATAACTTACCAAATACTGCAGCAGCAACCTTAGTTGCAGAAAAATCACGTTTTTTTTTGTTTTCCGGAACCACTGAAATGCATGGAAACAGTCTTCTTCATAAGTAATTTCATTACTGATGGCACTAATGCCTTTACAGTTTCTCCTGAACCAAGGTTGAGATATTTTATCTAAAAGTTAAAACAGTTGCTTATATATAACAAACATATTTATTCAATTCGCTAAATTATTTCAATTACAAATTCTCCCAGGTAAATTGTATTATAGCTCAATTTTTGTTTTTAAATATTACATTTTTAAAATAACAAGTTTTTTTGTGCTTATTTCTTTCTTTAACGCTAAATGTAATGTAATATAAAAATCTTGTATAATGTAAAACATGCTATTTTCCAAAAACATTGTGAAATTAATGAAAAAGATATTTTTTATTTTTTATATTCTTACCAAAGATATAAAGTTTTCTTC